TGAAATGAAAAATACACTAGAAGGAATCAACAGCAGAATAACTGAGGCAGAAGAACGAATATGTGACCTGGAAGACAGAATGGTGGAATTCACTGCTGCAGAACGGAATAGAGAAAAAAGAAAGAAAAGAAATGAAGGCAGCCTAAGAGACCTCTGGGAGAATATTAAATGCAACAACATTCGCATTATAGGGGTCCCAGTAGGAGAAGAGAGACAGAAAGGACCCGAGAAAATACTTAAAGAGATTATAGTCAAAAACTTCCCTAACATGGGAAAGGAAATAGCCACCCAAGTCCAGGAAGGGCAGAGAGTCCCATACAGGATAAATCCAAGGAGAAGCACACTGAGACACACGGTAATCAAATTGGCAAAAATTAAAGACAAAGAAAAATTATTGAAAGCAGCAAGCAAAAAACGACAAATAACATACAAGGGAACTCCCATAAGGTTAACAGCTGATTTCTCAGCAGAAACTATACAAGCCAGAAGGGAGTGGCATGATATACTTAAAGTGATGAAAGGGAAGAACCTACAACCAAGATTACTCTACCCAGCAAGGATCTCATTCAGATTCGATGGAGAAATCAAAAGCTTTACAGACAATCAAAAGCTAAGAGAATTCAGCACCACGAAACCAGCTCTACAACAAATGCTAAAGGAACTTCTCTAAGTGGGAAACACAAGAGAAGAAAAGGACCTACAAAAACAGACCCAAAACAATTAAGAAAATGGTCATAGTAACATACATATAAATAATTACCTTAAATATGAATGGATTAAATGCTCCAACCAAAAGACACAGGCTTGCTGAATGGATACAAAAACAAGACCCATATATATGCTGACTACAAGAGACCCACTTCAGACCTAGGGACACATTCAGGCTGAAAGTGAGGGGATGGAAAAAGATATTCCATGCCAATGGAAATCAAAATAAAGCTGGAGTAGCAATACTCATATCAGACAAAATAGACTTTAAAATAAAGAATGTTACAAGAGACAAGGAAGGACACTATATAATGATCAAGGGATCAATCCAAGAAGAAGATATAAAAATTATAAATATACATGCACCCAACATAGGAGCACCTCAATACATAAGGCAACTGCTAACCGCTATAAAAGAGGAAATCGACAGTAACACAATGATAGTGGGGGACTTAACACCAATCGACAGATCAACCAAACAGAAAATTAATAAGGAAATACAAGCTTTAAATGACACAACAGACCAGATAGATTTAATTGACATTTATAGGACATTCCATCCAAAAACAGCAGATTACACTTTCTTCTCAAGTGCACATGGAACATTCTCCAGGACAGATCATATCTTGGGTCACACATCAAGCCTCAGTAAATTTAAGAAAATTGAAATCATATCAAGCATCTTTTCTAACCACAACATTATTAGATTAGAAATCAATTACAGGGGAAAAAACGTAAAAAACACAAACACATGGAGGCTAAACAATACGTTACTAAATAACCAAGAGATCACTGAAGAAATCAAAGAGGAAATTAAAAAATACCTAGAGACAAATGACAAGGAAACCATGACGATCCAAAACCTATGGGATGCAGCAAAAGCAGTTCTAAGAGGGAAGTTTATAGCTATACAAGCCTACCTCAGGAAACAAGAAAAATCTCAAGTAAACAATCTAACCTTACACTTAAAAGAAATATAGAAAGAAGAACAAACAAAACCCAAAGTTAGCAGAAGAAAAGAAATCATAAAGATCAGAGCAGAAATAAATGAAATAGAAACAAAGAAAACAATAGCAAAGATCAATAAAACTAAAAGCTGGCTCTTTGAGAAGATAAACAAAATTGATAAACCATTAGCCAGACTCATCAAGAAAAAGAGGAAGAGGACTCAAATCAATAGAATTAGAAATGAAAAAGGAGAAGTTATAACAGACACCACAGAAATACAAAGCAGCCTAAGAGACGACTACAAGCAACTCTATGCCAATAAAATGGACAACCTGGAAGAAATGGACAAATTCTTAGAAAGGTATAACCTTCCAAGACTGAACCAGGAAGAAACAGAAAATATGAACAGACCAATCACAAGTAATGAAATTGAAAGTGTGATTAAAAATCTTCCAACAAACAAAAGTCCAGGACCAGATGGCTTCACAGGTGAATTCTATCAAACATTCAGAGTAGAGCTAACACCCATCCTTCTCAAGCTCTTCCAAAAAATTGCAGAGGAAGGAACACTCCCAAACTCATTCTGTGAGGCCACCATCACCCTGATACCAAAACCATATGAAGATACTACAAAAAAAGAAAATTACAGACCAATATCACTGATGAATATAGATGTAAAAATCCTCAGCAAAATACTAGCCAACAGAATCCAACAACACATCAAAAGGATCATACACTATGATCAAGGGGGATTTATCCCAGGGATGCAAGGATTCTACAATATACACAAATGAATCAATGTGCTACACCATATCAACAAATTGAAGAAGAAAAACCATATGATCGTCTCAATAGATGCAGAAAAAGCTTTTGACAAAATTCAACACCAATTTATGATAAAAACTCTCCAGAAAGTGGGCATAGAGGGAACCTACCTCAACATAATAAAGGCCATGTACAACAAACCCACAGCAAAGATCATTCTCAATGGTGAAAAACTGAAAGCAATTTCCTCTAAGATCAGGAACAAGACAAGGATGTCCACTCTCGCCACTATTATTCAACATAGTTTTGGAAGTCCTAGCCACGGCAATCACAGAAGAAAAAGAAATAAAAGGAATACAAATTGGAAAAGAGAAAGTAAAACTGTCAATGTTTGCAGATGACATGATATACTATACATAGAGAATCCTAAAGATGCCACCAGAAAACTACTAGAGCTAATCAATGAATTTGGTAAAGTTGCAGGATACAAAATTAATGCAGAGAAATCTCTTGCATTGCTATATACTAATAATGAAAAATCTGAAAGACAAATTAAGGAAACACTCCCATTTATCATTGCAACAAAAAGAATAAAATACCTAGGAATAAACCTACCTAGGGAGACAAAGGACCAGTATGCAGAAAACTATAAGACACTGATGAAAGAAATTAAAGATGATACCAACAGATGGAGAGATACACCATGTTCTTGGATTGGAAGAATCAATATTATGAAAATGCCTAAACTACATAAAGCAATCTACAGATTCAATGCAATCCCTAACAAATTACCAATGGCAGTTGTTACAGAACTAGAACAAAAAATCTTAAAATTTGTATGGAGACACAAAAGACCCCGAATAGCCAAAGCAGTCTTGAGAAAGAAAAACGGAGCTGGAGGAATCAGATTCCCTGACTTCTGACTATACTACAAAGCTACAGTAATGGAACGACATCAATGGAACAAGATAGAAAGCCCAGAGATAAACCCACGCACCTATGGCCAACTAATCTATGACAAAGGAGGCAAGGATATACAATAGAGAAAAGACAGTCTTTTCAATAAGTGGTGAAGGGAAAACTGGACAGCTACATGTAAAAGAATGAAATTAGAACACTTCCTAACACCATACACAAAAATAAACTCAAAATGGATTAGAGACCTAAATGTAAGACTGGACACTATAAAACTCTGAGAGGAAAACTTAGGAAGAACACTCTTTGACATAAATCACAGCAAGATCTTTTTTGATCCACCTCCTAGAGTAATGGAAATAAAAACAAAAATAAACAAATGGGACCTAATGAAACTTAAAAGCTTTTGCACAGCAAAGGAAACCATAAACAAGACGAAAAGACAACCCTCAGAATGGGAGAAAATATTTGCAAATGAATCAACAGACAAAGGGTTAATCTCCAAAACATACAGGCAACTCATGCAGCTCAATATCAAAAGAACAACCAACCCAATCCAAAAATGGGCAGAAGACCTAAATAGACATTTCTCCAAAGAAGACATACAGATGGCCGAGAAGCACATGAAAAGCTGCTCAACATCACTAATTATTAGGGAAATGCAAATCAAAACTACAATGAGGTGTCACCTCACACCAGTTAGAATGGCCATCATCAGAAAATGTACAAACAACAAATGCTGGAGAGGGTGTGGAGAAAAGGGAACCCTCTTGCACTGTTGGTGGGAATGTAAATTGTTACAGCCACTATGGAGAACAGTATGGAGGTTCCTTAAAAAACTAAAAATAGAACTACCATATGAGCCAGCAATCCCACTACTGGGCATATACCCTGAGAAAACCATAATTCAAAAAGACACATGCACCCCAATGTTCATTGCAGCACTATTTACAATAGCCAGGTCATGGAAGCAACATAAATGCCCATTGACAGTGGAATGGATAAAGAAGATGTGGTACATATACACAATGGAATATTACTCAGCCATAGAAAGGAACGAAACTGGGTCATTTGTTGAGACGTGGATGGATCTAGAGACTGTCATACAGAGTGAAGTAAGTCAGAAAGAGAAAAACAACTATCGTATATTAGCGCATATATGTGGAACCTAGAAAAATGGTACAGATGAACCGGTCTGCAGGGCAGAAACTGAGAGACAGATGTAGAGAGCAAACGTATGGACACCAAGGGGGGAAAGCGGCAGGGGGTGGGGGTGGGGGTGTGCTGAATTGGGCGGGTGATTGGGATTAACATGTATACGCTGATGTGTGTAAAACTGATGACTAATAACAACCTGCTGTATAAAAAAATAAATTAAATAAAATTAAAAAAAAAAAAGTCCCTCTCCACTACAACTTTCAACAGGAAGGGCTCTGACGATGCATATGGCCAAAAAAGCCTCAGCCTGGCTAGCGTATTTATGCCCATGGGTGGCAGAGAGGTTTCAGTAGAAGGAAACTGATCCCTCTCTTTATGTGTAAAGGCACTGAAATTATCTCAGTTGCTTTGAAGCCAGTGAAAGGTGGAATATAAATATTTCAAAAGCACATTTAATGGGAGGCATAAGCAACTTCTCCCAACAAACAAAAAGGGTGTATACCCACCTGTTCTGAAAAAAACTGGAAGCCCTTGTCCTCACGAATACACTCATATGTTTCTCCAAGAACTGGATTAAAGGGCTTGCTCCCAGCGCGGAAGTAGCTAGATGCATATGCGGACACGGCAAAGGCTGCCACGTACACCTAGAGAGAGCGGAGAGAACCTGGTTATTTCTCCATCACCAAGAAATTTATTTTTACGAACAAAGACATGAACAAAATAAAACCTCTCTTTCTCTCTTTACAATTTATCTCGAAAAGCCAAAGATTTGTCCCTGGTTTAAAGACACCCAAACCAACTTTGGTTTCAAGTTGTAGGTTTAAATAGTGTTCATTTTGGCCCAGGCACAAGTGGACCAGACCTTTTCAGATTGTCCATTTAGTCTGATGCCTGCAAGATGCCTTTCAAGATGGTGAGTCAGTCCCTCTAAACCAGCCACTGTCTGAGAATCCTGAGGTCGTGCTAAGGCTTTTGAGGAGGAGAGGGACGAAGAGTATTAAAAAAGCTAAACTTCCCTCAAAATTCAAGAATAAGCCACAGGGAACTCCGCTCAATACTCTGTAATAACCTAAATGGGAAAAGAACTTAAAAAAGAATTGATACATGTATTGTATGTATAACTGGAATCACTTTGCTGCACACCTGAAACTAACACAACGTTGTTTATCAACTCTACTCCAATATACAAAATAAATTCAGGAATAAGCATGCTAAGTTTAATCATTCACAATTTGATATTATAGAAACCAAAAAAAAACCTCATTTTGACCAAAGAAAATCTTTGGGAGTCATTTCCTGCGCCTGGGACAGAGCACAGTGCCTTTTAAGAAGTTCTGCTTTTCTGGGAGGAAAAATGAAAACTCAAAAAGGAAAAGGAAGGAAAACTATAGGTGAACATGAAATGAGCAAAATCCTTTAATGGCTGTGGCTGTGAGGGTCTCAGCATTTTTCACAGTTCCCCTTTCAGGGCAACAAAGAGCCACAGTACAGGAACACCTCGCTTTATTGTGCTTTACTTCATTGTGCTTTGTAGAAACTTCGTTTTTTATAAATTGAAGGTTTGTGGCAACCTTGCATCAAGTAAGTCTATTGGCACCATTTTTCCAAAAGCATTTGCTCACTTCATGTCTCTGTGTCCCATTTTGATACTTCTCACATTATTTCAAACATTTTCATTATTATTATACTTGTTATGGTGATCTGTGATCAGTGACGTTACTACCACCACTCAATGAAGGCTCTGGTGCATTGATGGTTAGCATTTTTTTAGCAATAAAGTATTATTTTTTTGCGGTACGCGGGCCTCTCACTGTTGTGGCCTCTCCCGCTGCAGAGCACAGGCTCCGGACGTGCAGGCTCAGCGGCCATGGTTCACGGGCCCAGCCACTCTGCAGCATGTGGGATCTTCCCGGACCGGGGCACGAACCCGTGTCCCCTGCATCGGCAGGTGGACTCTCAACCACTGCACCACCAGGGAAGCCCAATAAAGTATTTTTTAAGTTAAGGTGTATACCTTGTTTCTTTTAGATATAATGCTATTGTACATTTAATAGACTATAGTATAATGTAAACATAACTTTTATATGCACTGGGAAACCAAAAAATTCATGTGACCCACTTTATTGTAATATTTGCTTTATCGCAGTGGTCTGGAACCAAATTCGCAATATCTCTGAGGTGTGTCTGTATCCTTTTTGGTCTTTTGAGGGCCAAGGGGCAAAAAATTAAACCTAAGTAGCAATAGCAAATTTTCCTTTCTAGTACAGAATAATAATCTCAGTATTTCCTCTTCTCAGCTCATTTCATGAAGTTTCTTATATTGGAAAAAGAAAAGCTGTGTGCCTTTCTTAAATGTTCACCAGTCACATAACTTTCAACAGACTTTTGAAAACTGGTCACTTACCACCTCACACTAAAGTGTATAGAACACTCTAGAGCAGCTGGAGAGCTTATAAAAATCAATTTGCTATGCTCAATTCAGTCTGTTCTTGAAACCTGGGTATCTGTTCCTCTCTCTGCTTCCTCAGATGTCTGCTACCTGATAAACAGCAAGGTCACACGTCTACATGGAATGCTGAATCAACCCTGAATCACCTTCACAATTTAACATATAACACATTTACAAAAGAATCTGGTATCATTCATGATGTAGGGGGAGAGAGGAGGGAGGGAGCAGGCAGAACGAAGCATCCTCCTTGTGCGCTGACAATATGAGAGAGAATCTCTGCAGGGGTAGAGCTGACCTTCATACTCAGAGCAGTAAACACAATCCATGGGCTAGGTTCGTCCTCAATTCTTTCCTGAACTTTCCCTTCCTAATGTACTGGTGCCTTTCCTCAAACTTCTTCTCAACGTCAATGACACCACTCAATCAGCTGACATCCGAACGGTCTCTAAATTGCTACGAGAATGAAACACCTTTTAAGAATGCTTTCATCTTCAGAGCCAATCATTTTCTTTAAAGAAAAGCACTGTCCACGAATGATAACTTTTAACACTTGCCTTGGCAGCTAATTGCCTCCCTTTGTTCACAGAAATTCTCTGGGGAAGAGTAACAAAGAAGACAAAAAATAAACAGCTTGTTTTTCTCTCCTACTCTGATTATCATTAGTATCAAGAAAGAAAATCTCTTTGATGGGAGAAGTCCCAGGAGACAGTATGGGATGAGACAGGGATGTCTCTTTCAACCAGTAGTTAAGATTTTCCCTTAATCCTCAAATCACGGAAGAAACTGAAGTTTTAATGAGGGTTTAAACTGCAGAATGTGTACAATTTAGAAAGCAATGGCCTCCAACAGTGAGAGGTGATGTATAGGTGGGTCCCTCCGTGAGGCTGGGGGCGTGCTGTCCCACTTAGCCAATCAGCAAATGCCTAGGGCAGAGATGCTGCATTTGGCGGAAGACACTCATGTCCCAGCATCCCACACAAACAATGACCTTTCTGTTGAGCAGGTAACATACCAGGAGGCAAAAAGAGGAAGAGACACTCAGTTTTGAAGAACAAATAGCCACAGTCACAGAAAGGGCTGATTTGGCCACAGTCTTGCCACTAAGGTACCCCTAACCCCATCTCCACAAGACAGGGGAAGGATGAGAAATACTTGGAGACCCCTTCATCAGAAGCCCTATCACTTGATTAGAATTGATACTGAGTAGAGAACAGAAGGTTAATCTTTCTAGGATGAGGTTTTTTTAAAAAAACGTATTCTATAAAATAAGAAGTGTGTGTGTGGGATCAACTATACTCTGATAAAAATTAATTCAAAAAAAAAGAAGTGCAGTGGGGGGGAGAAGAATCTTTCTGATGTGAAACCTGTGAGTGAATGATATTTTCTAAAAATTTAGGGGCCGATAGGACAATTCCAAAAATAAACAAAAACGTTCTCAAGGGAAATTTGCCCTGGATGAAACAAAACAACCAGCTCCAAAAATTAAGTTCTATCCGCTCAGGGTAGTAAAAATAAATACTCAGACAGCCCTCAAGACATGTCTTCCAGCCAGGCAATATCAGAACAATCCCATGGAAGGTTCTGGAGAAAGAGGAAGCCCGAAACCACAGAGCAGAACTACCCCCAGGCCGCAGCTGTCACAGGGAAGCCGCGCCCAGTGGCAATTCCTGACCAGGTGACTGAAAACAGCCAGGCGGAGGGGAAGCGGAGGCGGCTGGGAAATGAACCGATCTGACAGGCAATCCAGATGGGAACCGGAGGGACAGGAGCCCTGGCTGTGCCCATCTTGGCTCTGCGGGGCCCTGGGAGTGGCCACCGCGCCTGCGGTGCTCACCATCCTCTCCAGGGCACTGGGTGTCTGGGCAGCCTTGTCCAGGAGCTCGCTGTACTCCAGCTCCTCACACAGCCTCTGCAGCGTGTTGAGGGGCTCATTGAGTTCCACCGGCATGGCCACCTTAGACAGGTCCTTCCCGATGTTCGTTCTCAGGATGTTCCACAAGCTGACGTTACCGGACTTGGGGCACGGGGCCGGCAAGCACGTTCTTCTTTTGGACTTGGTTTCCCCTCCACTTTGGAGAACAGGCTCTGAAAGGGAAATAAGCCTGGTTGCCTTATAAGGATTTTCATTTTATTTTACTATTAAAAAGGAAAAAAAATCCACCTTACTGAGCAAGTATGCCATGATACTATTAATCTCAGTTATCCAGATTATGGCTGAAGTCAGAAAATAAAAAGAATTCTGAGCAGCTAAATGAAGTACCAAAAATTATAAACACTAAAACTCGTGGACTTTATTCATGGGGAGGTCTTCATACTCCTAATCAAAGGCTAGTTCCTCATAGCTTCTATGCACTTAGAATAAAACTGGAAACTGGATTGCTATGCCCAGAGCAGGTTACTTTTAAACTCTTTAAACTCTTTTTTAAAGCGCTTCAAGTTCTGATAAAAACTTTTAAAGTCTTTTAAAAAAATCGTTTCCAATTCTGGTAAAACAATTGTGTTTATATTATAGGAAAATTATAAAGGAAACAAAAGTCATCCATTAACCCACTACCCAGAAATAGTAGCCATTTATATTTTGGAGTATTTTCATTTAGTGTTTTCTCCATATAGCTGACAATGTTTGTATAGTTGAATGTTTTGCTTAATCAGTTAACATAAATATTTTTCCATGCTATTCAAAATTCTTCTAAAACATCATTTTTAATGACTGTAAAACAATTCCACGCTATGGATAAGCTATAATTTATTGAATCATTCATCTGTTGTTGGACTTTTAGATTTGTTTCAATGTCTTGCTAAAAAAAAGTAGTGAATATTCATATTCTTAGATATTTAATTATATCTGATTATTTTCTTAGAATATACAGAAGTGGGAACCATATACTGATTCATAGGATCATACTGCTCTTCAAAAAGGCTGTATCAGTTTCCCATTTATCAGCAAGCATATACCAGTGTCCATGTTCTGAGACCATTCCAGGCTTGTCAGCGTTCGTTCTGAATTCTTGGCAAATCGTTAGGTGGACAGCGCTATCTCCTTGTTTTAACCTACATTAAAAAAATTCCTAGTGTGGTCTGGAATAATTTCATGAACATTTCTTCTTTTCTGAATTGTCCGCTTTCCTATTTATATATTAAGACATAATCTTTTGTTTTTGTATTTGTTTTACAATTTAATCCCCATTTGACATTTATCTTTACATTTGGACTATGCAGTTTTTTAATGAATGAAACATTTACATCTTAGGTTTTTACACCTATCAATCTTTTCCTTTGTGACAACTTCCATTACCTCATGCTCTGGAATTCTTTTCCCACCCCAACATAGCCTATTTTCAAATGAAATCTTTTGCATTACATCAACATATGAGAAAGTGGTATTTTATTATAAAGCCGATCACTCTGAATAACGAGGTTGCTTTGATGAACAGGAGAATATGAAAGTGAGGTCATACTTTGAAGTCTCATGTTAATCTAAGCAACCAATTAAATTCCGAATTTGTTTTAATTGCTCAACACGGGCAAAAGTCAAGTAAATAGCTGCAAATGATGACAGTCTTTAAAAACAGCATTCCATGTAATCTCAAAATACTTTCTTTGATTACACTAAATTTTGAAAGAATACTATACTACTACTACCACTAATGGCTAATACATACATAGCTTTTACTCTGTGACAGCCTTTCAAGAATTTTACATATATTATCTCACTTATCCTTTGCAACAACCTCTTGAGATAAACAGAATTATTAGCCCCATTTTACAGATGAAGAAACTGAGGCACAGAGAAATTAAGTAACTTGCCCTAGAACACATAACCAGTGAGTGGCAGGGCTGGAGTTAACCGAGGAAATCTGGTCCCTGAATCTATATTCCTAACCACTGAACCTCCACACAGCACCCATCACAGTGACAGATCCTATTATGTGCCTACTGATTTGGGTGGGGGGGTAAATTAATAGGAAACATTCTAAATACCTACCATTTACTAAGGGCTCAAAGAAATTCTAGTGTGGTAATTTATCAAGACCTGGATAAATCCTATTTCCTGCTGTAGGCAATACTGTGTCCTAAGATGCAAAGTTTATTTCTACATACAATCTTTTCAGTAGAGTACTGATGTGCAGAAATCTAATCTTCCAAATACTGCCAAAGAAGAAAGCTAGGTTTGGCCCAGTGTCTGTTCAAGCTAAGAAAATGTTGGTCAGTAATCTAGCAAAATGGCTGTGGAATAAGATAGAGAGACAGCCTTCACCTCTTATATGCTTTTCCTGGCTGGTGTCAACTCAGCACAGCTGTGGTCTTAGGTTCGGGGGCAAGTCCTCTGTTCCCAACTTCGACCTCTGAACCTCTATACCTCTGTTCCTCTCGGCCCCCTCCCTAAGGCCTCAAACAGAAGGAGGACTTCAGCATTTGTTCGTCTTCTTCATCCACAATGAGAGTTCCCATTTAGTGTGTGTGTGTGTGTGTGTGTGTGTGTGTGTGTGTTGTTTGCCAAGGGAATAAGTGATGCCTCCTCATTTCTCTTTCAATTCGCCTCCTTATTTTTCTACAAAAACAAGTAGCGCATGAACTTGCTCCTATATTACTGGTCTTTGCCTTTAAATCACTGGTTCTCAGACTTTTCCACCAAAGGATTAATCTCTCCAGAAACAATTCAAGGAAGATACAGAGCATAATGAGCTTCTGACTTCTAGCAGGTGTGATGCTGAAAGGATATTCTTTCAGAGAACAGTAAATTTACCTGCCTTTTTTGTAGTCCCCCAATGAGTTGGCTTTTTGACATTCAAATGACAACTCATCATCATCGTATTTCACACACGTACTGAGGTGGCAAGCACTGATACATCAAAAAGGAACTGACATGGTCCTTGTCTTCCATGTAGATATAAAAATATGTGGTGTTCTGGCATAGATAAATCTAGAGACCCCAAGCATGCTGAGTACCAAGACTGGGAGTATTTGATGCTGCAGGACTCATAGAGACCTGTCCAATGGGAAGATTCTTCTTAAGGATAGGTCACCTTCCTAAGCAGGCTTCAGTCTGCTTACTGAACTCCTAAATCAGAGCTGTTTGGAGATAGCAGACATTCCAGGTACCCGCCACGGTTCCAACTAACATTTCCTGGGCATCATTTTCAGTCTTGGGATCAACCAGTAATAAAGGGACATCTCAGGGTACCTTAAGCCCTACCCCCACAGGGGGAGCAGTTTGTTAACTCTCAAATGTGTTATCTTGAAGAATCGGAAGCTAAATTACCGCTTAGACCAGACCTTCTACAATATAAGTGCTACTGAATTCCTAAACTATGAAAACCACTAGAAACCTAAAGGAAAAAAGCTATATTCTAATATGTTTGCAGAGAGAATGTTGAACCAAATAAGGAACATCTGTAGTATTAATTTTTGATATTTATATGATAATTGGTATAACCTTACTTTATAAAATAGAAATTTGCACTAGCCAACAAATGTATTTGAATGAATAAATTTTTCACATGTGAGTGCCATGTCCCACCTAGATTATAAAACTTTGAGGGTGGGGACCATGTCTTAAGTTTCTGATGTAGAACTTGCTAAGTTCTCTGTTTGTAGCAGGTACCCTATGTATGCTTACTGGTATTCTGTAAAGATCCAAACACTCAGAGATCAAACAATTTAAATCTTACCCAAAGTCTGTCTCTCATTATCTAAATCATTACTGAGATTATCTAAGGAAAGGTTGTCACTTATGTCACTGACATATGAATCATCTTCAGAAATCTATGGGAAAGAAGAAATAATATACATTAGAGTAGACAAGCCAGATTTCATAAAGCCTTTACTTCAAATGATCAAATATTTTAGACCACACATTATAAACCTATAGACATGATTTTGGATGCTGTTTTCATAAAGGCCCATACACCAGTCTGCCTAGGGGATGCTTACAGAAAATATGTTATTAAAATTCTTATACATTCTTGATTCATTCTCACAAGGAAAACACATGTAAACCCCAGATTTTAGTTATTATAAACATTAATTCAGACTGCTTTTTCAGAATTTGTTAGCGTTTGACTAGAAAGAGTTACAAATGTCTTTTAACTATTTGTGAATAAAAGTATCTTCTATGGAAATTAATAGACAAAAAGTATTAGTACTTCTATACCGAAGGGGTAAAATGATCAGTACTCACACTCAGAACATAATTATAAATCAATTATAACAACCATATTATAATAACTATAATAACCATAATTATATTATAAATTACTATAGAGCAAATTCAATGATGAGAAAATATACAAGGTGCTAACTTCTGACCCTGTAGTGGAAATAATACATTATCAAACAGCTAATAGTCAAAATCATTAACCTACAATTGAAAAGAGGTATAACAAATCAAGTAACAGAAACCAGGATGTGCCCAACACCTACTTTCATAATTTTTGTTCCCTAAGATCTTGTATCTTTTTATGCTTTTTGAGGTATGAGTTATAAGAAGATCTTCAGAACGTAATGATAAAAAGGAGCCATTGAGTTTAGTGTTTCTAAATATGGGTATTTACTGAACGGGTAAAGCAGCAAAAGAGATTTTGGAGGCACCTAACTGAAAACAGTGGTCAAACCTCATTTTCTGAAGAGCTTGGAGACAACAGAACTTCCTGTGCATCAAAAAACTCTGAAAGAGAGTCAGTGATGGAGAGCCTGCTTTCGTTGGAAAGCTGATGGACCAGAGTTCGATTGTCATCTCTGGAGTTTTCCTATTTGAAACACAAAACCAAAAATGCATACATTTAGAAACAGTCTCAAGAGAAGCAAAATAAACAACTGATTTTGCTGCACAATACACACGGTCACAGGCCCAGGCAAACAAGCAGCTCAAAGCAGAGGGCAGTTTCAAAGTTGAGGAGAAGCAAACCTCACACAAAACAGGGTGAAAAGCCTAGGTCTCCCCCAAATGGGCACCTTGTTTACAGGCACTATCACAGCTCAGGCACACACAACAAACCTCAAAGCAAAAAAAGACTCTGCAGGTCAGTTTTTATTCCACTTAAGACGGGAAAAATTCCAACACTCTCTGAATCATATCCTCTTATTCTCTACCACTGCAGGATGTTTCTTTTCATCCTAAAATTTCCTCTGAATTGTACTCAATGCATGTCCTTGCATGGCTGGTTCAGAGCAACACAGCCTTCTTCTGCCTCAATTCTCTCGCAGAGGCCAGTGTGCTGCTCATGAGGCATCCCTTGACAAATAAACAGTGTGTTTCGGTCCAGAAGTGCCCCTGGTGGTAGATCATTCATTATTCATGGATGAATGAGATAAATTCTCTTTGTCTGTCTCTCTCCAACCACACTGGCTGCAAGGGAAGGAAGTCCCCAATCCCCTTCCCACCCTCTCTGCAAACACCACAATAGAATATAGGGATTCTCTCCTCTTGCTGGCCCTCCATCCCTTGAGTCACTGAGTCTGGACTTTTCCTCTGGAAAGGACCTAAATACTTTGGGAATATGTTTTGTATGCTATTTGCAAGTGAACATTCAATTTAACTCAAGAAATTGAGCAACTGCATTGTGCCTGTCATGGCGGGATACGATGATGAACAAGACGAGGTTTTTGGCCCGAGTAAGTGGTGTAGAGGACGCATCCAACACACATGAGCCCAAGACTATGGAACAGAAAGCGCTACAGAAGCGGACAGGAAGCAGAGGTTGATTCTATTAGGGGGGCTTTGGTTGGGGAGGGCTTCACAGAAGAGGTGATGCCTAACTAGACCTTGAGGAATGAGAACATACTGAGGACGACATGATTTGATTCCTTTGAATCAGAGAAGACTGTCACCTGAACTTCCTGACAGCTCACATTTCTCACGGGGCTGGTAAAGGAGCTGCTTATATATCCTTATGTATTTGATAAATGAGTCGCAGAATAATTTGGGAAACAAAAGTTAATGCATATTATGTCTTTCCCAGAAGTTTTATGAGTTCAGGACACACTCCTCAGCCTCATAAAATGGAGATGCTATAACAGGAGGGCCCCAGCAGATGTTCATAATTAATAAAGGTCAAATGGTCTCTTTATGGAATGTTTACTTCAGGAACACATTTAAATGTGTATCCCTTTCTCTTCTAGACAAGGTATTCATTGAAAGATCCTACCCATTTTAATATCCCTACAGCCTTTTGAAAAGCAGGCTTCTTCTCCATGCTAACAAACAGGATCACTTAGGATCTATAAATAAGCATCACATCTGTCACCTTTAAAGGAAAGGTCTCTCTCCTCAAAAGAGGAGACATGGTAATGAATAACTGAGCTCCCTTAATGTTCACTGAAACAACAGAACAGTCCTGTGTCTTTGCTGTGTCACTGCCACATAAGACTCTAATGATTTATTTACTTGTTCTCCTCATTAATTTATTAATAGTCACTCTGGCTCTTTCTGTATTTCTTCTTCCTAGGCTGATGTGTCAGGAGGATTTCTTGCCTGATCAACAGTGAAAATAGCACGCCTGGCCCCAGCCCTTTCTGCTGTTCCATTACTCTAGCAACTTCCTATTGATAGTCACCGAAAACTCAACAGGACTGCAGGAGCCTCCAGCCCTCAGCCCAGTGTCCTGCACAGCCCAGGACCTCATGTATTAAAATATTAATCTAGTCAGTTCAATTTAATCATATCCCCTCAAGTTTGTAAGGTATAAGTGGTTGTTTATCTTTTTTTACATTACAAAAGGATAGAGAAAAAGGAGGGAAGGGAACACGCATAATCCCATCACACTAAATCAACCACTATAGGCATTTTGATACATTTCTCTCCAATCCTTTTTATACATATAGCTTTGCTTTGTTTTGAAATAGTTGTCATCTATCTATCTAATTTTATAAATTTCCTCCAAACAACATTGCACCATAACTTCAGTGACATGGACATATATGCACATAAATACACGTATTTACCAAATATAAAATAGATAGCTAGTGGGAAGCAGCCACATAGGACAGGGAGATCAGCTTTGTGACCACCTAGAGGGGTGGGATAGGGAGGGTGGGAGGGAGATGCAAGAGGGAAGAGATATGGGGATATATGTATATGTATAGCTGATTCACTTTGTTATAAAGCAGAAACTAACACACCATTGCAAAGCAGTTACACTCCAGTAAAGATGTTTAAAAAAATAAAATTAAATTAACACTTGTTCTGAGGATAAAGGTAGTATGTGCTCAAAATAGAAAATACAGAAAGATGTAAATAAAATAAATATCACTTAAAACCCATCACCCAGATGTGACCCCTATTAACCTGTCAGTGTATTTTTTGTATTAAAATATTTGTATATAGATTTTTTTTTTAGTTTGAAAAACTGGGATCACACTGTACATAGCCTTTATTTAGTCTGCCACATTCACTTAACATTATATTGTGAACTTCTCCCTAGGCTGCTAAAATTTCTCTGAGACAATGAACTTTACTTGATAGATTTACTATATATGTGTGTCACAGAGTAACCATGTCATTTATTGGAAATTAAGGGTGTTTCCAAATTTGTAAAGATGGTGAACACGTTTGCAAATGTGTCTTTGCTCGTATGTCATTATTTCTTATAATCAGTTCTCAGAAGTAATTATTAAAAATGTTTAAGGCAGGGCTTCCCTGGTGGCGCAGTGGTTGAGAGTCCGCCTGCCGATGCAGGGGACGCGGGTTCGTGCCCCGGTCTGGGAAGATCCCACATGCCGCGGAGCGGCTGCGCCCGTGAGCCATGGCCGCTGAGCCTGCGCGTCCTAAGCCTGTGATCTGCAACGGGAGAGGCCACAAGAGTGAGAGGCCCGCGTACCGCAAAAAAAGAAAAAAAAAATCCAAATCTAGTCAACATTTCTTTTGTAATTTTTTCTATTGCTTCCACATTTAGGAAGTCCTCCCTACTCTAGCCATTTGTTAAACATTTAAATCAATATTTTTCAGTTTGAATTTCATTCATTAGTGATTCATTTTAGTGTGCAATGGAAAGATTTATTTATTTATTTATTTAATTTTTTGGCTGCGTTGGGTCTTCGTTGCCGCCCATGGGCTTTCTCTAGTTGCAGCAAGCGGGGTCTACTCTTCGTTGAGGTGCGTGGGCCTCTCATTGTGGTGGCTTCTCTTGCTGTGGAGCACGGGCTCTAGGCACGCAGGCTTCAGTAGTCGTGGCACGCAGGCTCAGTAGTTGTGGCTCACAGGCTCTAGAGCGCAGGCTCAGTAGTTGTGGAGCACGGGCTTAGTTGCTTCGTAGCATGTGGGATCTTCCCGGATCTGGGCTTTAGTTTCCTTGTCTCTAAAATGAAACTACCATCACCTACCTCATAGAGCTGTAGTTAGGATTTTGTGAGACAATGCATTTAAGTGCACATGGAATATAGCAAACGAGCAATTAAAAGAATCAAAAGTCTTGTTTTAGAGTTTTCTTTCAAGTTCTTGCTTGTTTGGTCTCTTAAATGGACTTTAGATTTAGTAGGATATTATCCCGAAAGTCACTTGGCCTTTCATTTGGAGTCTAAAATAACATAAAATAATCTAAGCACTCATAACCTCATAATAGTAAATGTTCAGATTCAGAAATTTAAAATAGAAGGACTTGATAGGATATGAGAGTAATTTTTGATAGGAGGGGAGATTTTAGAATCCAGGTAGATTTTAGAACACCAAAGATGGGTAATTTGTGCAGCTAAAAGGTAACAGAAGGGAAGCAAAGAAAGCAAGAGGGCCTAAAAACAGAGCACCCTGGGCTGACCCCAGTGTGGGAACTGTCATTCCCACAGTGTTTGAGAAGCCTGTGAGCTACCCAGGGAAAGGACATTGGAGTTGAGCTTTCAGGCTCTGGGGCGGCCATTTCCACTCACTCTCTTATTTCCTGAGGGCAACAATGACTTTTCCCATACTGGGAAAGTCAGCCTTTCCTTTTCACACTGTGTGAAAAGCAGGATAAAACACGGAAAACAGAAAATCACTGAAAGAGGAACTAGATCAGTGAGACAAGCAAATCATCAATTCAAGACACTAGCAGGCTGTTTTGGAAGCTGTGAGCTTGAGGGATGTTACCACTCCTCTTCAAAGACAATATACAGCATTTAAGCCTTCAGGTGCATTACTTGTGAGATCAATTTTAAAACATGCATTTTAAAAGACCTGTGATTTTGGTTTCCTTTCCCAAATGCAAATAGCCCCAAGGGTACGCATTGACTATAAATTTACAGAACCATAAATGAAGGGTCAACTTGCCGTTTATCTATTTAATGGCTTGTTAAATAAACTAATGTAATTAGGTGATAATTTCAAAGGTAGTGCTGCCTGGAAGCGGGCACCAAACCCCACAGAACGACATTGCATTTGGCAGCAAGCCACCCTGAGTGATGGTTGGCCTCAGTGACTGAGCCCTGATACAGCAAACCTGTATCAGCAGATTCAGAGACAGCCCTCCTGGTAAGCATGTTTCTTTGCCCAGGCCTGAAATGAAGGCCCCTTTAGGTAATGTTTAGGTGCTCAGTCTTGCAGGGGATTCAGTTTGGGTCTGGGCTAAAGGATAGATGTATATGTACAACTGATTCACTCTGCTGTACACCTGAAACTAACACAACATTGTAAATCAACTCTAATAAAAATTAAACAAATAAATAAGGTGACTGAAAAGATCTCTTGGGGGCAGGGAAGATGCAGGATTTCATGGTCAACCACTGACATGTATCTCAGAAGTAATAAGAGGCCCTCCAGCCCTGCGGAGAGAGGGTACCACCCTCATCAGAAGAGGGTCCCATCAGCTCAGGACACAGCCTGTGCTTCACATGAAGGTGGATGCCTGGGCCTTTCAGTCTGATTGATTCCAGCATCTAATCTTCCCGTCGCCCGACACAACAACTTTCCAAGGAGTAAAGGAATTGTGTCAGGCTTTTGTTTTCTTTGAGGACAGAAAAAGGAGGAGGACGAATTAAGATTAAACATTAGAAACTCCTTTAAAAAATTTACAATGCCCACCTCTTGTACCTGACCTTTTTTTTTTTTTTTTTAATGCACTCAGTCTAATACATTTGTTAATGAAAAATTTAGCACAATTGAGGCAGGCATATAAACATAAGAGATTGCTAAAAACAATTTTGACCTTCATTACCCTTTTCTACTGATTTTTTCAAGTAATCCACTTGTATTTTTCTGAACTTTCTCATTTTAAACACAGTCAAAGCATATTTTGGATAAACATCCCAAGTCTTGAGAACAGACATTTTTAACACACTATGAACTGACCAAGACACTCAACTGTAATAATTCTCCCCCTCTGAGGGTAATCACAGGAAAGGGAGAAGGAAACAGCCACATAGAAATAGGACAGTGGTTCTCAGAGAGGGAGCAAAAGAAGCTGGCTGGGAACTGGGATGCTATAGGTTGGAGAAAGTGAGGGTTTTTTCAGAAGTAACAGGAGAAAACATTTGTCTCTGCACAGTCCCCACTCCAGTAATATCAAGAGAAAAGGGTGATCCTTAGGAGGAAAATGGGGTAAAGAAGTACAAAGGGAGGAAGAGTTCCAGGGGGAAAAAGCAGTTTAGAAATGCAGCTAGCAGCATACTTTCAAGGAAGCCTTGGAATCCTCAGCTGCCCATGGTGAGGGAAGCACAACTCCCAGGGGCAGCAGGGAGGCCTGCGGGGACAAGGCGCGGCGACATTACCCACCTCTGCCAGACGATCACCCGACTTGGCAGCAACTGGGCGGTCGAGGAGCAAAGACTCAGCATGGATTCTGCATAAGCGTTCTTTAAGATCTGTGTTTTGTGCTAGGGCCTGGAACACGTTAAAAATAGTGGGGCTCCGTTAATAAATGGATGTTTCAGAAAAGCACAGCAGCGGGCCCAGTGTGGCGGAGCCCTCGGGGGCACTTCCTTGACTATTTTTCTTGAATGTTATCCAACAGGATACTCCTGAGATGCCTGGCAGATACAAGATATTAAACACTGGAAACGGAGGCCCTTCTCGAATCTCATTTCCAGGGATGGAAGTAGGGTTAGTAAGGCTTTCCTTGAGGTGGAGAAGGAAATCACAAACACCTACAGCTTTTATTACTCGAGGTTTCTCGGCCCCTCCTCCTTCCCAGCTGCCTTTAGACTCTGACTACCTCCCTCTAAAGATCCCAAGCTTCTCTCTCTCATCTTCAATAAAAATGCTGCTCTTACCCCTTACGATTGGACATATTTTAATGTTATTTAATTATCACACTAGTTGAATTGGATCTTAGGAAGTGTGCTGAGAAGATTTTGTGGAGGATTAATTTTACTGTTTTACAATATAGGTATTCATTGCTTTATATTCATTCTTCATGACTAAGATAGTAAATAAAAAAAAAAAAAAAAAAGAGCTTACTTACCTGGGTAAGGGCTAAGGACCAGGGCCCTGGGAAGGGGGCTGTGAGATGTGAGCTCATGTCAGCCCACCCAGATCTCTTATTTCTCCCTGGACAGGTGTGATTCCCTAGCCCATCCTCCCAACTAGGAGAGTAAAGGAAGGTGTTTCTTTCATGCTGGTATCGCCTGTGACCAACTGTTCTCCAGATGATCTGTTTTTAGAAGGGGACAACTTCATCTGATTCACCCACACACACTCCCACAGTCAGCTCCCCAGGTGCTTGTACACAGATCCATCCTGTCTGTCTGTCTTCCTGACTCTCTTCTGAGAAGCTCAGAGCCTTTCCCATCCATCAGGGCCCACAGGGTCTAGCTGCTGAGAGCATAGAATGATGTCTATATTTAACCCACTGCCTGGATCTCAAACAAGAATTTTGGCTTTGTTTTTTAGTACTCACAGATGGAAAGGGTTATCGGGAAATTCTCAAGGGTCATTTAGGAAACACTGAGTAAATGTTTCTTAAGTCACACAACTACATCTAATAACCTCTACCGGGCACTCACTTTGGCCAATATGTTGCTGGCGTCTTAGTGTAAGTGGCTAGAATCTACACCACTGGCTAGAATCTCCATATGGTCTGAAAAATGTGCTATTTTAGTAGCTTCTCTTTCCTTTGTAAGCCACAGGCAGAAGAAAGAAAAACACAAAGATTGCACATACAGCACAAACATATTCATTCTGATAGCCCTGAGATAACTCTAAAATTCTTATTTTTAAAAAACAAGTCTTGAATTTAATCAGGAATCCAAGACAAAAAGGAAAGGATCATTCTGTTTTATCTTAAGTTTCCAAAATCCTTACCATGGGTGAGGGAGAACTCCTTAGAGAAGGTAGTGACTCTGGACTAGGATACCATGGCCAGGTGGGTCTCATGGCCTCTACCAGACCAGCAGATTAACAAAATGAGGCCAGGCCTCCACAGGAGGAGGGCAGGGGACAGGAAGACGACAGTGAAAAGGACTTTGGGGAGCCCATCAGAGGTACCTTCTAAGTGCACTAAAGGCCACCCTACTGGGAACAATAAGAAATGCTTTTACCACTAAAAAATAAACTTAAAGAAAAGAAAAAAACCACCCTGCTTCCCTCAAACCAAAGCAGCACCCAGTGTGTGGCTGGCTGTCCATTACAATCCAAAAGGGGCGTTTCTGTCTCTGGGTCTACAACATTAAGACTCTAAACATGGAGTAAATCTATGTTATTTTTTATTTCTTTCAAAGATAACATACTGGAAATATTCAACTGAGCGAATATTCCTTAAGTATCTTACAATGACAGTATGTACCACTGGTAATGTATTTACCATTAACGTTACACCAAAAGCATCGCTTTACTTTTCTCAGTAATATGAGTAGAAAACATGGGTGGGTATTTTCTAGTTCTCTCACTGCCTGAATTGGCTTCTGAAAACAAAATCCTAAAATTCATCTCCCCTATCTGACCCTACATAGAAAGTTCAGTATTGCTTCAGATGGTAATTTCACATATGTGCACACACTCTCTCCCTTTTCACAATAAGTGTTCCACATACAAGCAAAGAGTAGGAGCAAATAAGTATGTTCTTTTAAAAGTTCTCCAGATTTTTGATAGATACAGAGATAATAGCCAGACATTGTCAGCTATTCAAAACAGAGTTCTAAGATATTGCACTTCAATGGAGTCCAGCTCTTCTGAGGAATAAACTGGAATCGATGAAAAAAAGGGAAAGAGAGTGAATGACAGGACGGCTTACTGAAAAACATCTGGGGCTTGGCAGTGATTTTTCTGCTGTTATGAAGGCACAATGATTGCCTGACACTCCTTATGACATCTCTTTGTGCCCATGGGGGGAGCAGGTGGGAGCTGAACATTTGTACTATCAAATCAAATCACTTTTTTGTCTTTGAAAGAGACGTGGTATAACCAGGTAGACAGGATCAATGCTGGGCAGCAGAGAAGAGTGTGAATTCAAAATTTCACTCTGTTGCCTGTACCTGTCAATTTGGAAAGTCAATCTAAGCTTGTGAAGTCTTAGGTATGGAAATCTGCAGACTGTCAGACTTTGTAAGCATTAACAAACAAATGTCAAGACAATCATATAACGAGAGCTTCCCTAGTGGCACAGTGGGTAAGAATCCACCTGCCAATGCAGGGGAGACGGGTTCAAGCCCTGGTCGGGGAAGATCCCACATGCCGCAGAGCGACTAAGCCCCGTGCCACAACTGCTGAGCCTGTGCTCTAGAGCCCGCAAGCCACAACTACTGAAGCCCGTGCGCCTAGAGCCCATGCTCCGCAACAAGAGAAGCCACCGCAATGGGAAGCCCGCGCACCGCAACGAAGAGTAGCCCCCGCTCGCCGCAACTGGAGAGAAGCCCGCGCAGCAACAAAGACCCAACGCAGCCAAAAATAAATAAATTTAAAACAAAAACATATAACAAAAGCTTTACAGAAACAGAAAACTCAAGATAAATAGGAGGAAACCAAACAGAGTATCTAATGCTCAGTGAAATACTAGCTACTAAGATTTCGAGTAGGCTCAGCTTTGGTGTTTAGAACAAGCAGATCTGATGAAAGGTTAGAATGTAATTTGGATAATGTGTTTGGTTTTCTCATGAATTTTCAACACAACCTTGGAAATCATGAATTTTCAACATAACCATGGCAATGGAAAATATAAAATGTTCATGAGCCTGGACACACTGTCAGGCATTTCCATGACACAGACGTGTAACTTACAGATGACAGGGCGTGCTTCAGACCAAGGACCTGGGCAGAGGGGGAGACAGAGACATCCTGCTCCATCAGCTGCTCCAGTTTCTCTCTCTCCGTTAATATGGTATTAAAAGCTGACCTTAAAGTGAAGTAGACTATAAAGATATAATCATTATAAAAAGGAACAAAAGAGTCATAATTAAAAACAAGATATATAGAGATGTATTTCTTATAAAAGAACTTAGAAAAGTAACAGCCATGAATATTTTGCGTCCAGCAAATGTGCACCTAATTGACTTTAAAAAATACATCTGAAATGTAATACCAAGAGTGAACCCTAATGTAAACCATGGACTCAGGGTGATAATGATGTTTCAGTGTGGGTTTATTGATGGTTCACAAATGGACCACTCTGGTGGGATGCTGATAGTGGGGGCGGTTATGTATGTATGTATGGGGGAGCGGGTATGGGAACACTCTACTTCTTGTTCAATTTGCTATGAACCTAAAACTACTCTAAAGAATCAGATCTATTAAAAATTTGAAAATCACACATATTTGTCAATTCCGAAGTCCCTATCCGCTATAAAATTCCATGATTTTATGAGCTGTCACCAAGATATTTTGACACTTGAAAGGACTATACTTCTCAATTATCAACATTTAGTTTTGTTTGTATCTCCAAAGACTGGAAATGTTTGAAAACAGAACTTATTGGTTGTCAGAAGGAAAATGGTAACGATGCAGAGGAGAAACTAGACAGCACCTTAACTAGGTGTCCAAAATTAATCACTGGTGAGAGTCAGATGGACTTCGTGTACCTTGGGACTTTGTGTGATACCCTGAAGACACACTATTGTTTTTGTTGTACACAAGCCAGAGATAGGCCATCTGAATCTGCTCAGGAGGAAACATCAGACAACCCCAAAACGAGGACCATCCTATTTTTTCAAATTGGCCTGTATTCTTCAAAAGTGTCAATTTCATCAGAGAGAAAGACAGACTCAGGAACTGTTCCTAATTACAGGAGACTAAAGAGGCATGATAACTAAATGCACTCTATGACCACGGACTAGAGCCTGTACTGAAGGGGAAAAGAGCTATTAAGGGATGCTATTTGGATAACTGACAACATTTGAATACGGAAGGCAGAATAGGTAAAAGTACTGTTTCAATGCTAAAATTCCTGAATTTCATAACTAAACTGTGGTTAAGTAACAGAATACCCCTATTCTTAGGAAATATACATATAGCATAAAGGCATAAAAAAAGACATGATGTTTGATTCCTATTTTCACATGGATGAGAAAAAATAAATGCACACACATCTGCATGTGTGTGTGTGTATATATGTCTGTGTGTGTGTGTGTGTGTGTGTGTGTGTAGAAAGAGATAAATGCAGCACAATATTAAAAATGGTGAATTTGGATAAAAGACATATGAGAGTTCTTTGTATTATTCTTGCAACTTGTCTATAAGTTTAAAATTATTTCCAAGAAGGTGTTAACTACCCTCTTCCTTGTTAGTCCTTCCAGCTGCCTGACCCAGAATTCCCCACCTCTCAACGTGGCATTCCACAATTTGTTCACTTTAGTGAGCGTTCAGGTACAATGAGAGCTCAGTGTTATTAGACACTCAGATGCCTGAACTGAAGTTTTAAAAACCGTTATTAGGTACAGCAAAAAATTCACCAAGTTTTGATCACATAATGTACAAGTTGCCTCCTAGGGATAAGGCAATTGTCATCCGAACTGATCATGGAAATCACGTGTGAATATTTCCAATCTCCTTTATTCTATTTTGTTTTAGAAAGGCAGGAAGAAGGAAGAGGCTGAGACATACTTCTACTCCAATGGCCTGGCATAAGACTGAACTGCCTGGTGCTGCACTTTTTGAGGTATTGTTATTCCAGAGTGGCCGATTCAGTATCACAGAAACTAAATATGCATGACTGAATTACTCCCTTCATTCCACAGCCACGCAGACAACTGAACCTCTCTCGATAGGCTGTCCCTAAATTGTCTGAGGTTGTGGTGTTAAGCCATAGACTTAGAGCATCTTCACAAAATCACAGGACAAATAAGCAATTTGTTTAAATGCACACACATATTATGGTGCTTCTGTTGACAGAAGACAGGGGTCAAGGGTCAATAGGTACTGAATTTTCTAATAGTGTCTATGGAACACACTTAGCTCTTTGATTTAAACAATTCAGTTGAGCACAATAACAGGCAGCACAACAGAGCCACCAACAGTGTGAGTTCCCCCATCAGCCCTGGGTTCTTCCCAGCTCCATCACTTACTCACTGCAGGACTTCGGACAGGTATATTATGCACCTGGACCCCAGTTTCCTCGCTTGTAAATAGGGATAATAATAGCATTTACTTCATAAGATCATTATGGGGATTAAATCAGATAATGTAGGTAAAGCACTTAACCCAATGCATCGCATGTAATAATAAATGCTACTGCAATAATAATAGTGGTGGTGATGAAAGAAACATACGAGGCTGAAAGTGGTGATGGCTGCAGTCTTTTGAAATATGGGCAGCAGTTTTAGGATACTTGAGTCTCTTGCCGGAACATCATTTATAAATAAATGCACAGGGTAGCAGTTCTATGAATGAGAGATTGACCAGAATCTACGGAGCAGTAGAAGCAGTGGAAGCTCTCACCCAGAAAGCAACAAGCCCTGCAGTTAACTCACTCACTGCATTTTAGGTCCTTTTAGATAGGCACCCCCACCCCTGGCAACTCCACAGGATACCCATGCCCATCTGAGTGGGTCCCTGGGGGAACACCTCGTCACTGTCATGTTTTGGTAAGTTTACTTAGTATCTTACTACAATTCTTTTCTTAATTGAGGTATAACTGACATACAACATTATACTGGTTTCAGGTATACAACATAATGATTCAATACTTGTATACATTTGGAAGTGAACACCACAATAAGTATAGTTAACATCTGTCACTTGACATAGTTACAAAAAATTTTTTTTTCATTGTCATGTTTATTGCTCTAAATTAAACAGACATGGCACTCAGCTGGCTGCCACTTTACCAAATCAATTCCCTTGGCTTTCAGATGGCCTGCAGTAAAACAAGGCATTCAACCAAACTAGAAGGTTACTATTACTATTACTATTTGTAAATGAAGATTTCTCTCACTGCAAAGATTTTCCACAGGTTGCAGGAGATGTATCCCTAGAACCTCACTTTTTTCCCTTCCAAGGCAGAATGTGAATATCCACTTCTAACTGGAGTACCCTGACCCCAGTCCTATACTAGTCCTTGCTTTCCCATCCTAAATCTGCTCATCAAATATGGTAATTTTTGCTTGTATTACTAATAGAACACTCTCCTACAAAATCTCCTTGTAACAAGAAGCAGCAGCATGATTTCTGTTCAGTGGAAAACAATTAATCATAGAAGATAATTACAGAATTTGAGAGGCCAAAGAGTCAGGAAAACTACTTTAAGACATTTAACAAATGAGGCAACTGAGGCCCAGAGAAGTTAATCAATGAGGTGAAAGTCCCACAGCTAGTCATAACAGAGGTGGCCTAGTTGAATGCAAGTTTTCTGACTTAGCTTGTATAGAGGGTTAGCTCCAAAAAGGCTTCTTATTTACAATGTTTGCTGACATGTTTCCAGGAACTTTAGTTCCAGAGCGATAATAGCTGACAGCAGTTTGGGGAAGAGGGAGGAGATTTTCCCTAACAACGTTGAAAATTTGAAAATCATTAAGTTAAACAAAGCTAACAGGCTTCTCTGCTGCAGGACTTCTCTAGGGCCGTTAATATTTACTGCTTCTTGTGTAAATGCAAAGCAGAGTATAGTCAGCAGTGTTTTCCAAACATTTTAAATCGTGGAATTCTTCTGTTTTTTAAAGTGTTATATGGGCAAAGTGTTCCATGAAATACATTTTGGGATATGTAAAAGCTAATATATGTAAGGCAAATTACTTATGACTTTTAGACTTTAGTACATTTTGTTCTGTTTGCTTATATATATGTCAACATAGACACAAAGCCAGACACATGAACCAATGAGAATTAGTTCAATGATACACCATAAAAATCAAATTTATAGTCTAAAATATACAACAAAGACTTTTTAGGATGGGTGTATATTAGTTGCCTACCATTTGATCCAACTTCTATGAGACAGGGAGAATTCAGATGCATTTAACAAGCTGAAGAAAAAGTAGGTAATATAAGACTATTTACAACAACAATGGAATTCTTGCCTTGAGATCAGCTGCTCTGAAGTCATGGTCAACAGATTAGTGATGCAGTTAAGAAAGTACAGTAAAAACTGTCAGTAACAAAATCAGGCTTACAAAGGAAGAACAGTCAAGATGCTTCAAAAGTTTGAATGGAAGTGAGAAAGCAGGCAAGGTCACAGGACACAGGGAGAACCTGAGAACTGTCTTCATTTCATGAGGCCTCTGAATTACAGCCTCTGTAAAAGGGACTCCCCGAGATCTTTCAGTCTCTGCAAGTACACTCTAAAACCACAGGAATGAAACAAAGCTTGCTGGGCTCCCTGTGGAATTCACTGTTCGCAAGCCCATGGGGCACAGGCTATAGTTGAATAGGTTTTCCTGGACTTTTCTCGGAGCACAAATCTTGACCTAGACTAGGTATGTGGCAGCCCTGCAGCCAGCTGGTTTTCACAAAGCCCAAAAGACAGAACAGCTGGCTGAGGCCCATTATAAACCTTGCACAATGTCAGGCCCACTGCAGGAGGACAGGGTCAGGGGATCAACTCAATAGAGCAAATGCTGTCCTTCTGAGGAAGCAGCTTCTTCAAGGCAGGTAAAATCAGGATAGTTCCCTTCCGCAGGGAGGCACTATCTTCTCGTTTTTAAAGAGACAGTGCATATTATTAAAAAGTAATGGCACCGTATAGGAATTTCCTCCCACAAAACCTAAAATGAAACAACCTAATTACAAGTGGTGCTTTAATACTAGAGAACCACACTGGGGTGTGTGAAGATCTTTAAAGGGGTGGGGCAGGTAATTCTTCCCATTTTACAGATGAGTTGTACTGCCAAACACAGACAAGGTTCTAACGGTCACTTGGACAAGAGTTTGAGGTAAGAATGTGTAAAGAGCATAAAATGGTTTCCTCATAACCAACGTGTTTTATTTTAAGTTTGTAGGGTAAGGGAAAAGAGCCAAAGGAAATCAGTGATGTAAAGGAAGAAAAATACAGGGTGATGAGAGAAAAGCAAAATAGGAAACGTCTTCTCTCCTCCCACTTCAAGTACTGCCCTCCCATTTAAAAAATTTTAACTCATCTTCTCCTTTAAAAAGTGATAAATCTATGATAATTTTTTTTAAAAAGCAGAATAAGTACTCCCAGTCTCCATCACTAAAATGCTGGTATGTATCCTCTCAGACTTTTTTAATATGCCTATATGTGCCAGATTTATATAGTTTATTTTTTCCAAAAAACAAAAAATGGGATCATACCTTATATTTTTTGCTCAATATGTTGTGTCAATCTTCCAATACCTATAAAAATAAAAATAACCCTGGCTACCCCATCTGTGAGGGCAGTGAGACACCAGGTGAGGAGCACAGACTCTGGGGTCAGGCAGGTTAGAATTCAAGTCTCAGGTTGGCTACTTTCTACCATGGGACCCTCACGAAGTTCTTTGGCTTCTCTAAGCCTCAGGTTTCTTACGTGTGCACAGATAAGAGGTTACAGTCATACACACTCTGCGGGTTGCTGCTAGAATTCAATGAAATACTGCATGTTAAGTGCTTATTAGCAAATACCTGACATGACACTGTGTTCGATATAAGGTAGATATTATTATTGTAGCTGTTGAGTATTCTAGTATATGATTACATTGCATTTTAAAAATCCAATCCCTCCACTGTCAGGCATTTAGGTTATTTCTAATTTTTTTTTAAACTTTCTATTGTGAAATTTTTATAGACTCACAGGAAGTTACAAGAACAGTACAGAGAAGCCCTGGGTGCCCTACATCCAGTTTCCCATGGTGGTAACATCTTACATAACTTTGGTACAACATCAAACCTGGGAAATTAACATTGGTATAACCTACAGCTCTTATTCAGATTTCACCGGTTTGACAGGCTCTCACTTGTAAATATGTGTACACGTATGGTGGTCAATGCAATTTTATTGTATGTCTAGATTCAGGGACCCACCACTAGAATCAGGATATAGAGCTTTCCATCACTACCAGGATTCCTCTTACTACCCCTTTATAATCATACTTGCCCTCCTCCTTGTCCCTGACCCCTGGCAGCCACTAATCATTTCTCCATCTCTATGCTTGTATCACTACAAAAGTGTTAATAAGTTCAATCATACACTATGACACCTTTTGAGATTGGCTATTTTAGGTCAACATGATGCCCTTGAGATCCCCTCCACTGTGCCGTGTATCCACAGTTCATTCCTTTTTATCACTGAGTAGTGTTCCACTGCATGGATGTACCACCTTTTGTTTAACCATTCATCTGTTGAAGGACATTTGGGTTGTTCCAGTCTTTGGCTGATACAAATAAACCTGCTCTGAACAGTTGTGTATAGGATTTTGTGTGGACTTAAGTTTACGTTTCTCTGGGATAAATGCCCAGGAATGTGAATGTTGGGTTGTATGGTAAGTACATGTTTGGTTTTATATAAAACTGCCAAACACTTGTCCAGAGTGGCTGTACCATCTTGCATTGCCACCAGCAATGGATGAGAGATCCAGTTTCTCTGGATCCTTACCAGCTGTCAGGTTTTTTTTTCTAAATTTAGCTATTCTATTAGGTGCATGGTAATGTCTCACCATGCTTTTGATTTGCATTTTCCTAATGATGGTGAAAATCGATTTCTAATTTCTGATATGATAAACACTGCTATGATGGATATCTTTGGATAATTTTAAAATTAATTCCTATGAATGAATTCTTCAAAGTGGAATTGCTGGATAGGCAGACTTTTTTAAAACTTGAAACATGATGTCACATGCCCTCCAGAGAAGTACCAATTTACTCTCTCATCAGCAGCATATAAATTGCTCAGCCTTTAAAGTATACTTAAGGCTCTCACCTTCCCCCCTACAGAGTTAAAAAGAAACTTCTTGCCAATACGCTCTGTACTACCAGGGAAATAAAATAAAAATTAGATTGCCTGAAATCCTAATAGAGCAGAAAACAAACCAACTAAGATTCCCCTCTCCAAGGACATCCCACATTCAGACGAACATTTAACATTTTCATCAAACACATTAGGAAGAAAGAAAACTCATTTACCTTTATGGGCAATATGACACAGATCTTCTTGCATTTTAGAAAACTCTGATGAGGTTTCAGAGCTATCGGAATAATTTTTGTCTTCTCCAAAATCTAGTGTTGACAAATTAGGATTGGAGGAATGCAGTCTTACTGGGCCAGAAAAAGGTTTGGGGACCTGAAGTGACACCAAAGGGAGATATTTCTTTTTAGATACGAATCGCTTAGAATATTTACTTGTTTCTAGGACTGGAAAGTACTAAGAACATTCTATAGAAAAGTCTTTCTATTGAGTGATAACTTATAGGAAAACACTTGTCACAGAAACTTTCACTGGCTTCTTGCAAAATAAAAATGGATGAGAAATCACATTTTCCTTTGGAGGTGATCACAGCATTAAAGCTACAGGTTGAAAATGACAGCTAAAGCAGCCGGGCTGTTTCTCGTTTAAATTCATTTCCTTCCTCCTGGCAATAATCACCCAGGATCTAGATTGCTAATAGTTAATGGGGTAGATTTAAAAATGTTTTCTTTACTTGCACCTGGTGCTTCTTACGAAACAAACCTCCTTCTCACATGTTTATATACAAATCACTCTTTGCTTTCAAAGTATTTAAGTTCAACCCATAAAGTGCTTTGAACCAGAGTTATTAATATATAAGAGTATAACAGTTTCTGTAAGTTTCTGATTTATTTTGACCCTGACAATGCTGCAATTTAATATGCAATGGCTGAGATGCAAATCGTGGCTTCTGGCTTAGCCGCGCATTGGGAAGTCAGCGGCTAGCGTTATGCAGTGCACTTCTGATGGGGGATTGGAAGGTTGGAGACAAGAGGCAAGAGAGAGTCTGTACAGTGTCCCGCTCCCAGAGGCTCCAGCCAGCGGGCTCAGAGGGATGATGAATCCACTGAGTTGCAGCAGAAGAGGTGAGTCAGAGCACACGACCACAGCAGCCACAAATCAAGGCACACACCGAAGCAGGGAAGAGAGCAGGCAGGCTAAGCATTAAAGAAGGGAAAACCAAAACCCTTTACCCAATATTCATTACATGCTTATTCTAGTATTCAGAAAATCTTCCAGAAAATCTAAGTGACTGAATTCCTCTCTCTGCACAGGGTATTTGAGAGAATAACTACAGAATATTCACTTGTCTATTTTTCTCCTTGAGTCCAAGGAGTCCCCAGCATATGTCCATGAGGAAACCAGCCTGAGGAGGGAAGCAAGGGTTACCTGCAGCGTTCCTTTAGCGTCTTTGCCAACAGCTCTGGAGCGCCATCTCCTATGTGATCTTTTTTCCTTTTTGGGACTTTCAAAAGATCCACCCTTTGTTTCAAAACAGGAAAGAGAGCACAAACAGTAAGGTCTACCAAACCCATAGGGAAAGACACACACCAAAGAGACCACCTCCATCCCCTTGAATCTGGCTGAAGCAACCAACAAGACAACTTCCCTGTTAGTGAAAGGCTGGGAGGAGAGAGGAAAGCGGAGGAGTGCCAGAATGAGACAGAAGCGGGGTCTGGCTAACCTGGATGACATTGATAGCCGGAGCCGAATATGTCCGATGCAGGACGTCCATACTTTGCAGAAGCTGGCTCATCTCCACCAGGCAGGCATGACAGTTTGCCAGTTCTGTGGGAGAAAAGCAAGAGGAGGAGTCAAACACACTTATCTTGCATTCCAGCTTCCCTCTGCTAGTGCCAGCTACTTTTCTCATTTATCTCTATTTGCTTTTACATCTCATAAGGATAGGAAACTTCACTTCCCTTCTTACAGGAGAGACAGTAGACCATTGTGGTTAAGGGCATACATCTGGAGAACCACGCTGCCGCAGTCTGAATGTACGTTACGAACTGTGAATCTTGGGCAAATTACATAACTTCTCTGTGTCTCAGTTTCCTCATCTGGAAACCGGGGGTAATTATATACCTATCTCACAGGATAGTTGAGTTAAAAATGAGTTGATAAATGCAGAGTACATTTAGAGTACCCAGCATATGGTAAGCACTAAATACACCAGTCTTCATCATCATCACCGTCACCAGCATCATCACCAGCACCATCACTGTTACTTCTAATCTTTTAGGAACAGGCTGTCACTATCCGATTCTAAGGACCCAACACAAGTTAGATGAATGAAATTAAAATGAACGGTGTATTGGTCTCTAAGGATAACGTTGTCAATCGTGGACCTGCAAGAGGACCATGATGGTCCTCCACAGGCTGACCTCAGCCCCTCCACAGAGCATCCTCAGCCCCGTTCCTGGGTCACTAACTCAAAAGCTAGTCCTCAATGTGCTGTTCACTGGGTGACGGGGCTGTTCCTCCTGAGAAATCAAGGTCCAAAAGCCTAAAGACGGAGGCTCTCAAACTTTGGCGTCATCAGAATCACCTGGAGAACTTGTTAAATCAGATTGCTGGGCCCCACCCCCCAGTTTCTGATTCAGTCTCTCTGAGTTGAAGCTGAGAATTCGTATTTCTAATAGGTTCCCAGGCCAGGCCAATGCTGCTGGTCCAGGGAAAACACTTCAGGGAGTACTGTCCCAAAATGTCACTCAGTGAAGCTCATATTTATTGGGAGGGCAACATGTATATGGCTCCAGGTGTGATAAGATCTGCATTCAACAGGCAAAAGTGCAATTTTCAGGCATCTTTCTCTGATAGTGGTTCTCAGTTGTGGCTACACTTTAAAAATCAACTGGTGACATTTTTAAAATCACCTATGTCCAAGTCCCATCCCCAGGCAATTAAATTAGAACACCCCCAATCCCACTGGTGACTTTTTTTTTTTAGTTCCTTGGGTGATTCTTAGCTAATTAAGGTTGAGAACACAGAGCTTCCATACGGTAAGCGTTCTCAACCCTGGCTCCTTATCAGGATCACTTGAGGAACTGCGGGAAAAGTAGTGATGCCAGGGCCCCATCCCACACTGATTTAAAAAGATTCTTTGGGACAGGGGCCTGGGCATGCGTATCCTGCATTTTAAAAGCTCTCTTGGCGATTCTAACGTGCAGCCAGGGTAGAGAACACCCGTTTGGTGGGGATCTCCATTTGGTTCACCCACTCACCTCTGGAACAGTGATTTAAATTCTTGGATGTGCATCAGATGCATTTTTGGCACTTAAAAAAATATAGCGAACTGTGCAGACCCCATCCCTGGATTCTGTGATTTAGTAGGCCATATGGAAATCAGGCATCAGTGCTTAAAGAACAGAAAAGGAAACCTATCTGCACGCACACCCAGGGGAAGACATAAAACTCTAAAGGAAAGTGCCTTTTGTTGATCACCAGTGCAGACTTCATAAGCAAAATATGACAGGGAATGTAGACCAGTGAAGGGGGAGGATACAAATTCATCTGGGGTCTGAATACCAAACCAGTGTAATCTAAGAGCAGAGGTTTTGACAGAAAGAAGCAGAGGTTTCGAGTCACTCTACCTTTAGAGCATTTTTCCATGTCCTCTGAAGACTGTAACCATAATGGAACTCGAGTCTCACCACCACAAGAAAATGATAAATTGCTTCCGGTTTGAAACGAATTCTGCTTTGATATACTGCTATGCTGTTCCACAGATGACAAAAGCACGTTATAAATGAAAACAGAGCTCGGTGGGAACACTTTAGGGTAAAGGATAATAAAGTGGGCTTGTAGCTAATGGAAGCCATCTGCCCATAATAAGGAAGAAGCTTCTAGCAAAGCACTCCCCTGGAGACCCTGAGACCTCCAGCTATTAACAGCGTGGCCATACCATGCTACAGGCCCCTGATTTCTCCTCCTGTCAAATGATAACCACACTGAAATAATGACACAAATGTTGGGAAAGATTTTGCTATTCTGTATGACTCTAAGTGCACCTCTTGTATGTTACAACCAGAAAGCCAACTGAAGTCAAACTGGTCAAGAGAAAGCTGGAGCTTTCAGGGATATTAAATCCCTCCGTACATGCTGTTCTCCAGTTACACTCTCAGCATTAATAGTTGCCCTTCTGGCCCTCGTTCTGACTGAGTGGACACACAGACGCATGAAATCCCAGCCCAAGCTTACCCTGCTCCTCCCCACAAACCCTTCATTCCTCAGACACGGCCCCCGAGAGCAGACTCCCCCCCACACAAAGCCACCTTCCTTCAGATTCATTATCGACAAATCATTACCTTCCTACTGGAAATGGTGTCCAAGACCTCAGAACCAGAGTCTGTGACAGCAGATCCTGGGAAAAAGTGATTAACTTCGTGTGGAAACATGGCGATTTCATTCTGACGATATATTCTGTGGTGGCGAAGTTTGGATACCCACTCATCAAAGACTTCCTCTGACTTTACCTAGATTATGTTGGGTTGAAAGGAGACGAGAATGTCAGTCACTCTAAGGAAAAATTAGTCATCACATTGAGGTCACTCCTAGCACCTCTTCATGCTGTCATGTGTAGAAATGTGGAAATACCAGTTTATTGACTTCATTTACATTTATGTAGTCTATGGAACAAGCTGGAGAAGGAGATGGAGAGCAAAAATGGTCTTCATAAACTCTACATTTAGGCATTCTATGAAAGACTCCAATTGTTATGTTATTATTAGGAAATATTAAAGAACAAATAAGCTGAAATTTACATTTATCCATCTCTTAAAGTAGTTCCAAGTTCTCTTGTCCCAGTTTCTACTAACCGTACTAAAAATACTAGCACCATTTTTTAAAAAAACTCTTTTATAATTCAGACTTTTCAGACCAATCTTCTCTGAACTGGGATGAATTAATAAATTCTTCCTAAAATATTTAATCTTGTTAATCTTCTCTGACAAAGAATATGGTGCTGAGGAATATATGTTAATGAATGTGAAGGTTACTTAAAAGAACATTTCTCCCACTCCTAGAAAACAAAAATCTGATAAAGTTTTATCAGTGATTTCCAGGATTTTTCAAACACACAGACACAAACTTTTAGCCATTCTCGCCAGGAGTGACTATCAATGTATAATTTCTATGAAGAGTAATGTTTGTATCTAGTAACTTTTATTATAAAGTATTTCAAATGTGCATAAAAGTACTAAAAAGAATATAACAAGCACGTATGCACCATAGATATTTCTTGATAGTCAATATTTGTGTGTGCATGATGATGTATTAATGCTTTCAAAACGAAAAATGATAGATATCTATATACGAGAACACAGAGACTCATGAAGTGGCAATTTAAAAGACCTCAAAAGGATGTATGGTAGGTTAACTTCCAAGAAGAAAAATCCAGGTCAATTCAGTTAAAATCTTTACTAATGCTGCTACTGAGAGCAAGGATGTGGAAATAAACGTCAGCAACATCCTTCACGTAGGAAGTGTTCGGTCGGCGTTTATGTTTGCTATGTTGATTAGAAGTACACACAAGACTTAAAACCCCTCCAGGTGCTACTGGATGTGTCGTTTACAAGTAGAAGCAACACAAACAGACTCACATCTATTTGTCTCCTTTAAATTATGTTCTTGAAATGTACTTCATTTCCCAGATGTTGTTAACTGACTGCCCAGGACAGTCAAATATGTACTATTCCCCAAGCCTAAGCCCCTATGCCTGTGGCTGTAGGTAATTGCGTACAGCAGGGCTTCTCACCCTCGGCACATCGACAGGGTGGGCTGGAGACGTCTTTGCCGTGGGGGAAATCAAGCCCACGTATGTGCTAAGCACGTATTTGCCCAAGTACCACGACGTGCTATGGGGAGGACAGGGACATATTAAGATGGGGAGTTCATAATCTCATGCTTTTATTTTCCCAAAGCACAGCCCCCACTCCCAATATTCCAAGTAATTTGTCCAAGCAAGAAAAGACTCTTAACGTTTTCTCAATTAATTTCTAACACTCGGGTACCACCTAATAGTTATATATAATACATAAACATATTGAGCTTACTGTGGGTCAGGCATTACGTCAAGTTTTCTACATGCAGCCCTACAAGACAAGCACTGGAACTCCCATTGTCAGGGTGGGAGGGTGGTGAGAAAACTGAGACTTTCAGAGATTAAATGATTTGTCAAAGGTTGAAAGCTAGTAAGTAGGCAGGCTGTCAAGATCTGAACCAGATCTGTATCTCCAAAGCTCTTGCTTCATGCTTTTAACTATCTATACCACCTGCAGGAGAAGGGGCAGAAGAGGGTAGTTAAGCAGCTTTCAGAAATACTATTTGGAGACCCATCCTTTAGGGGAAAAATTTCTGACATCACTGTGGTATGAGAATTTTAATGGAATCCCTATAAATTTAGTCGAAGTTGTAAGATGTGGCTTCTCAGACTGAAGATCATATTTTATTTCAGGAAACATTTTTTTTTTTAAGAAGATGTTGGGGGTAGGAGTTTATTAATTAATTAACTTATTTTTGCTGTGTTGGGTCTTCGTTTCCGTGCGAGGGCTTTCTCTAGTTGCGGCGAGCGGGGGCCACTCTTCATCGCGGTGCGCGGGCCTCTCACTATCGCGGCCTCTCTTGTTGCGGAGCACAGGCTCCAGACGCGCAGGCTCAGTAGTTGTGGCTCACGGGCCTAGTTGCTCCACGGCATGTGGGATCCTCCAAGGCCAGGGCTTGAACCCATGTCCCCTGCATTGGCAGGCAGATTCTCAACCACTGCGCCACCAGGGAAGCCCAAGGAAACATTTTAACCTATAGTAAATGGTTCTTCACTAAAGATGGTACTGCCTGGGGGTAGAGGGGGTTTGTATTTGGAAACAAGAAGTTTTCTGTTTTTTGTTTTTTTGTTACTGATGTCACAATCACAAGGGAGGCGGGGATTTAGGGGATAAGAGACAATGAGGCTAAACGTTCAGCAGTGTAAGAGGCAGTCCTACACAATGAAGAACTGTCCCATCCAGATAGCAATAAATATATCCTTAGAAATACTTTCATAATAAAGATCTTCTACATGTTGGCTGGATGTTTTGAAATTCAAAAGGCATCACCAACGGTACTATAACTGACAATCCCTTCACAACATAAAGGAACTCTGTGCAACAGGAGACAGCATCTGGGAAGCAGTGTCACCTTCAGATGATAAATGTGCTCCTCGGTGTCTAGATCTATGCACTTCGACGACTTCTTCACAGACATTACCGAGAGCCCGACATCAATGCAGCCATGCAGCTTCTCTCTCTCTATCTGCAGAGGCACAAAGGGGGCCCCTTGAGAACCATGGTGTTAAAAACCATCGGAACATCCTTAACACTCTTTCCCTCTACCCTCCCCTTCCACACCCACTAACAGTAAACACAATAACTACACTTCTCCAGTACTTAGCGTGAACTAGCACGGACACACATCATCCTATTTAACCTGTGAGGGAGGAAACATCTCCCCTTTTACAGACGGAAGACTGAATTACAGAGGGTTAAGTAACAAGCAGTTTGCACATTGCAAAGTGAGGAAGCAAGGAGGTGAGGAAACTAAAAAGTTAGCCCCATGACTCCTATGACAGTGAATTCACCTGTTAACTTCACCGCCTCCTGCAGAAATAGTTTCCAGTGTCTAAATTCATTTGGAAGTGACTTAAAAAGAGGAGTAGGTTTGTTTTCTACATCTGTGACTCCATTTCTGTTTGGTAAATAGGTTCATTTGTACCATTTTTTAGATTCCACATATAAGCAATATCATATGATACTTGTCTTTCTCTGTCTGACTTACTTCACTCAATAAGACAACCTCTAGGTCCATCCACGTAGCTGCAAATCGCAGTATTTCATTCTTTTTTATGGCTGAGTAATATGGTTACCAAAGCGGAAGGGGATAAATTGGTAGCCTGAGATTGACATATACACACTACTATATAAAATAGATAACTAATAAGGACCTACTGTATAGCACAGGGAACTCTACTCAATACTCTGTAATGACCCGTATGGGAATGGAATCTAAAAAAGAATGGATATATGTATAACTGATTCACTTTGCTGTACAGCAGAAACTAACACAACATTATAAATCAACTATAATCCAATAAAAATTAATTTAAAAATTTCTTTAAAAGCTGAAGAAACCAAAAAAAAAATTTAAAAATAAAAATTAAAAGAGGAGTAAGGAAGCTAATACAGGCCACTGTGGGTCAGGCACTATGGCACGTTTCTGTATTCGCCCCAACAAGGTGAGCACCATGAGAGAGGCAAAGAGAGGAAGACGAGAGGAGAGAAGTGCTGGGTGAGAGAGGGATCCCTACGAGGGCAGGACCAGTAGTCATTCCGAGTCCTCAAGGGCTGTCCGCCTGGTGTCCACACACAGGGGAACCTCCCGTCACCTTCACCAAGGGCCTTCTCCACTAAACCCTTCAGTCCCCATAACAGTGGGAGGGGCACGCTCTCTGTTTTGTTCCTGTTAGCTCACTGTGAAGAGGTCTCCCCAACCCAGAGAACCCCACAGCACAACCCTAAGACCAGAACCCATGCCTGGATACCCAGTAGGGTGTTGATAGGGGCTCCTGCACCTCTACTTGGTGGGTGAACTGAGCCCACCCAGAACCCAGAGCAGGGACAGCGGGGAGCAGGTACCTCTGTTCCCTGAGAGGGAACCACCACCCCTCCCTGATCTCCAGTTTAGGGAAATGCAATTCTCAAATATGCACAATCTCATCCATGAGCTGACAACCACTAGCCCTTTAGAATTCTTCAATAGCATACTGGATTAACAAGACGACTTACATCACTTTGGTTCTTGGCATATTTCAAGATTCCTTTGTCCAGATAGAAGAATCTCTGTGGGGAATAAAGCAGAATTCATTAAGACATTCCCAGGACCTCCCTGGTGGTGCAGTGGTTAAGAATCCGCCTGCCAGTGCGGGGGACACGGTTTTGATCCCTGGTGTGGGAAGATCCCACATGCCACAGAGCAACTAAGCCCGCGTGCCTAGGGCCCGTGCTCCGCAACAAGAGAAGCCACCGCAATGAGAAGCCCGCGCACCGCAACAGAGTAGCCCTCGCTCGCCGCAACTAGAGAAAGCCCGCGCGAAGCAACGAAGCCCCAAGGCAGCCAAAAAGAAATAATAAAAAAAAAAAAAGACATTCCATTTAAACATCCTTCTCTTGGTCTCCATGCTCAACTTCAAATTAAATGTAAGTGCTTAAGAACCAGGTCCTGAGTGGGGAGTGTAGGTACAAATGAAGGTGCGTCCCAGGCCAGTTCTTACCTTGTGCCAGCCTTTCAAGGGCCATTTCCTTTTTTTCAGCAAAAATCCTTTCTGAATTGGTGGCTCCTGGGTGTAATTCATCTCTCCCCTCAGTCCTTCCACCACTTCCCAGCTGTCCTGTTCCAACAAAAGAGTTCAGGCTCAATGGCTATCTTTAAAAAAAACAGTAATGTTAAGAAGCACTCGATCCCATCAGTAAATCCATCCAAGATGATGAGGCTGGCTGGGTGTGTTGGGGAGAAGAAACTCAAATTTAATTTATGTACAGTTCTTTGACTTTACAGATTTAATGCTATAATTTAGTGGCATCAAATTTTTTTTTGTTGTTGTTGTTGAAACGCTCTCTCTCAGAAGGAAATGTCTCTGTCTTTTTTGGTGCTTGAACCTTGACAACCACAGCTAAAGGTAAAGACTTCCCTGTAAGTTCTATTTTTGTTCCCTTTGACATCATCAGTAATTTTCACTCACCACTAGACTTCGGTCTGAATTTGAACCCAAAGCTACATACATCAGGATGGAGGCTGGGCAGGAGGGGTAGGGGTGGCTGGGAAAATTGGCTGAAAAGTGTGAGACTGCATGCAAGTTGGTAAACACAACACGTTGGTCAAAATGATGATTTAGTCACACTACCTCCAAATTCTAGGTATTTAAATGTTGGAAATCTTGAAGCATCAAAAAGGTGGTTCTGCAACAAGTATTTTCATCCTCTTTGCCCAGAAGTTTTGTTTTCTCCTCCTTTCTTTTGTTTCACAAACTTTGGTGAGGGGAGGGTGCAATTATTGCTCTACTAAGCTGTTTGCAATTTTGAGGTACAAGTAGTTATTACTATAAATCTTCCACTGTTAGCTATTTGGGTTATTTCAAGTAATTGACTAGAAAATAATTTTAAAAGGAATACTAAAGAAAAACACTAAAAATTTATTTTTAAATGCTTGAAAATGCACATACCATTGCAAAATTACCCCCGGATAGACCAAAACTGACAACACTTCAGCTGGTTTTTATTTATTATTATTTTTACATTATTTGTTGGGATATAACATACATGAAATGTGCAAATCTTAAGACTGTAACTTGAAGAATTTATATACCTATACCTACCATCCAGATCAGAGAGAAAACTTTTCCAACACAGGATAATTACGTTTTGACAAACATGTCTTTCCCCTCCTCGGGTTTACTGAGATATTACTGGCAAATAACATGCGTAAGTTTAAGATGTACAATGTGATGATTTGATACACCTCTATTCCCTCACAGAATATACTATTTTTGTGTGTGGGATGATAACATTTAAGATCTACTCTCTTACCAGCTTTCAAGTATATAACATTGTTAATTATAGTCACCATGCTATACATTAGATCCCCAGAGCTTATTCATCTTACAGCTGGGAATTTGTACCATTCGACCAACATTCTCTCCATTTCCCCCACCTTCTGCCCCTGGTAGCCACCATTCTACTCTCTCCTTCTATGAGTTTGCCTTCTTTAGATTCTGAATATAAGTGAGAACATACAGTATTTATCTTTCTCTGTCTGATTTGTTTCACTTAGCATAATATCCTCAAGATCCATCCATGTTGTCACAAAAGGCAGGATTTCTTTTTTTATGGCTGAATAATATTCCATTGTGTATATGTATATATATGGAATATATGGAATCTTACATTTCCAGGGGATACATATACATCTTACATTTTCTTTATCCATTCACCCATCCAATGGGCACTTGGATTGTTTCCATGTTGTGGCTATTGCAGATAATGCTACAACGAAAACTGGGGTGTGGATATCTCAAGAGACAAACATGTCATCTGGGCCAAATTTCATGTTGAATAACTTGCTCTTAGTCAAATCTCCAGCCTGCAGTAAGTGGTACAGGCAGAGGCCAGAGGGGCTGGGAGATGGACCTTAATAACCTGGGAGCAGAAGCAATTAGACCCAAGTCCCAGGCAGCAGACAGTCTAATGGGGAGGGCATGGAACCACAGAGAGTCCTGGGTGCTCTGGCTCGGTGTCTGTGTTGTCCTCAAGTTCAATATATGGAAAACACCTAGTAGCAAGACCATTTTCCTACCTTAGTGGCTGAACACTTTGTATAACCATCCTGACAGATCTGCCTTATGTCTGATTGCACCTTACTCTCAATAAGGCTTAAGGTACATCCCAGAGTTCTCAAACACAGCACTGGTTGAAATCTGGAATTGTAAAAGTTGAATTCTTCAATGGAAAAACCAAAGCTTAGATTCAGCTCCTAAATTAGAGGACTTTTTCAAAAAGGTAAAAATGTCAAACGAGATTCTTTGTAGCAATTATTACCAATTATTCAGTCACTTAATTACATCCAGACAATAAATGGAGAATGCATAATATTAAGTGATGGGAAGCCACACACACACAAAAATTCTGCTCACATTTATTTCAGCTCAAAAAAACCAGTCCTCAAAAAGTGTCTTGCTTGTCAAGATTTTAATGAATCGTTAAAATCATCAAGTTAAAAATTTCACCTCCTCCAGGAAGACTTCTTCAGAGGAAAGTACTATTTCATCCCAGACACTCCATCAGTATTTCATCTCACCTTCTGCTTATGATTGTATATGTGAGGTTTTATCATCCCTGGACTGGATAATAGACACCTTGAGGCTCTAAAGTGTCTGTTCACTTCTGATTTCCTCAATGTGCCTAACCTGTTATCCTGTGAATAGTATGCATCTGATTGACAAATGGATAAACTTGGTCCTGGAATAAGGCTGCAAACAGATTTATGTTCTTGGAATATCATTCACTGGCTTGCATTTGAAGTATGCCCAATATCTTTGGGCTAAATGACTATTTACAAATCAAATACAGCACATTCACACTTGTGAAAGAAGGTGTATGTGTGTTATCACTGTTAAATGAAAATCTAAGGCTTGAAATCTTCTAAAAAGTACTCTAAGAAAATCAAGCCCTTTTGATTTGTTTGATTTAAGACTCCCAAGCAAAAGGCAACAGGCAGAGTGCTAATACTAGACCATCGTGCACATCTGCTGAAGACATTCAATTGTGCAAAATGCAAATGCCAAGAGGGATTAGACGTTATTGCATACTTTACAAAACTGAAAAACAAATGGAATGAGATCACACCTATAGTTTAAAGGATAACAAGGCTTAAATCTCAAAAATGTTTCAAGGATTCGTGTTAGAACTAGATTTCTCCTGAACTCTTGAGACACAGTATATGCCTACCAATGAGCCAACATGGAGGGCAGGGGATTAGACTGGGTTTCTTGGCTCTTAAGGTAAATAAGTCAAACAGGGTTTGCACTTATTACTACGAAATATCATCTTTTTTCCCTCACTTTATCTTCTATCTGGGCTCAGAACTTGAAACTCTTACGAGGTTGGAAGAGCCAGATTTGAAGAATTTAAGAAAGTGAAGGCTCTCCTTGACTGAGGAAGAAAGCACTGCAGCCAACTCCTTTTCTGGCTCAACATCCAAATCCTCCCCCTCCCAACTTCCTTATCTGTCACCGTCCTTGAGTCATGAGGCTGAAACCTAAGAGTCAGCATCCAGCCAGTGGTTCTCAGTGGGTACTCTTCTCTCAGGCTGTGAAACCTTGGGGGCACTTTTAGTTGTCACAGTGATGGGGTGGGGGGTTAGTCTCTGGCATCTAATGGCTGGGAACCAGGAATGTTAGATGTCCTGAAATGTCTCAGTCTTGCACAATAAAGAAGTTGTCCCACATCCGCAAGATTTTCCAAAGTGCCAAGAGACATCTTCATAGGTGAAACCCATTTATAATTATTCAAGCACAGAACTTAACTCTGTTTCATGTACTTACCAAAGTATTTTTGCATGGTTTTTAACACACTCTGAATTCTTGGGAATGCAACTACTGAATAATTGAGATAAGATTGTACTTCCTCCTGTTTGGGACTTTGGCAAGAGTCACCCACCATTTTGCAGAATCGTGTCACTGAAGCCCGTGCCACTTGCGGTATGTGAGTTATTAACACATCTCTATGGGTCTGCATTAGTAGCCGTCACCCCACATATAGGTGTATCTGACCACTTCATTATGTCTTCTGGTATAGTCATGTCTGGGCTTTTACATATTATAATGTATACTTTAACCACTTCTCTGAAGTTTCCTTTATTCACAGTAAAGTGTTATGTTGATATTTTCAAAATTATGTGGGCAATTATATTAAATTAATAATGAATTTCATTTGAGGAGAGTAAAGCCTTCACTGAAATACTGGTCATAAAAAGGGGACATTGGTATGATGGAGTTAAGAGCCACTGCTGATCCCGACACCAATTCTGTGAGAAGGAATGCCAGACCAGGACACAATATAGTGAAATCACTTTGAAACTGTAAGGGCTTGATTAAGTCAGTCCTGTTAGTTTCATCTTCGAAATGTGTATCTTCCACGTCCCTTCTCCTCTGTTTCCCCGCCACCACCCGCCGATCTCATCAAACCTGATTTCCCAAGACTCCCCACTTCTACAATCATTTATGGGACCTCACTAGGTCCTACTCTCCATGCAGTGTAAAAATGAATACAACATAATATTTGTCATTTTCACTGCTGTGGTTTACTTGTATTTTTCCAAGCTCTCAGAATCTTCTCTTGTTCTTTTCCACCCGTACAAACGCTTCAAGATTTTAGTTCAGTTTTCTCTTTCCATGAAATTCCTAAGTTACCCAAACGACATCAATCATGTATTCCTGTAAATGATAGTAGTATTGCTGTCCATTACCAGGTAATTTAGTATTTTATAAATTTTTTTTCCATTTTTATCCCCAGTGCTTTGCTCTTCTGTCCCCAAACAGTTGTAGGGGCCATCTTTTTAAGTTGTTTAGAACCCCAGCAAAGAACTGAGTATATAGTAAGAAAGAAAATAATTTTCCTGGGTTTATATTAATTGTTGGGGTCTCAAACAAAGAACATAGATTAAGGTCTCAAACCAAGTAAATGGCACTGGGTGGTTGGTCAACAAGGAGATATTAAAATGTATCCACACTTCTAGGCAGGCTGCCATTCAAAACACAAAAGAATAGTGCCTCAGGAAACACTATCCAGTGGGATAGATTGAAACAATATGTAAATACAAAAATATAAACAACAA